AGACACGACACAACATGGTCACCGCCTATTCTCTTCTCACCTGGGCCCCACTGGCCTCCGACCTGGGTCCCGTCCCTGGGATCTGCCTCATCTAGACACGGGGAAGAGTGGACGCGGGATCCTCCTGGCTGGCTAGTTCCACCTGTCACCGCTCCCCCGAGTCCCCCTTCGGGCTCTGTGCATCATCAGGCCGCGGCCAACATTGATCCACGAGAATCTGTTTGAGTCCCTGCTTTCAGCCCCTGGGAGAATACATCTGGGACCGTCCCAGGGCAGGATGGCAATTCTATTTCTAGGTTTCGGAGGAACCACGGAGCTGTTGTCCCTAACAGCTGCCCCATTTTCGGTCCCCCCCAGCCATGGGAGAGGGCTCTAGTTTGTGCGTGACCTTGTCACCAGCTGTTATTTTCTATTTTTAAGGTTACAGCTGTTCTGGAGAGAGTGAAATGACACATCATTTTGACTTTATTAATCAAGGAAAAAAAAAGAGCTAGGTGCATTTTCTAGTAAAATTTAAAAAATAGTTTTGGAAAAGGGATGCCATCAATAAAATCAAAAGAATTGTGTTATATTTGGGGAAAAATTATAATGCAGATGATAGGAAGAAAAGGCATGTGTGTGTGTGGGGGTGGGGGAGGGTGTGTTCAAAATGACACCAACCCGAAGACAATTAGACCATGAATACAAAAACTCAAAATATGACAAATACTTAAAAATATACAACAAGAAACTGAGGACGGTGGCCCACACCTGTCATCCCAACAGCTCAGGAGGCTGAGGCAGGAGGATCTCAAGTTCAAAGCCAGCCTCAGTGAGGCCTTCTAAGCAACTCAGTGAGACCCTGTCTCTCAATAAAAAATCAAAAAGGGCTGGGGATGGGGGCTCAGTAGTCAAGTGCTCCTGAGTTCAATCCCCAGTACAAAAAAAAAGAAGAAAAATTCAATTTGGCTACCACAGCGTCCAGAAACATATGTGGAGGAGGAGGGATCTTACATCTATACAGGATCTAACTTAGCATCGCTTTTAGAGGTTAAACATTTGGTAATAAAATGATCTCCCACCACTATGACAATAATAAATATACTCTGTTAAAATACATACCATAGGGGATTCTTAAGGGCAAGGTTTTGGATTCTGTAAACAGCAGCTAGTGCTGTTCTCCTGTCCCCAGAAGGTGCAGCTAATGGCTCTGGGCCCCTAAGGACTTACAGGGTGTGTTGCCTAAAAGAGCCCAGGCACTGGAACCCTGCAGAGAGCTGGCCACATGGGAATTTGGCCCACATCACGTCATTGTCCTGAGAGCAGCTGGGGGGTATCACCCTCATCCCCATTGTCTAGGTGAGGACACAGCCAAAGGAGGCAGGACCATGCAGAGATGCCCAGAGGGAAGAAAAACAAGGCAACCTGAGAACTGGCCAGAGCTGTGGGGAGAGGGAGCCAAGATAGGAGAAGGGGGCAGAGAAGCCACCTCACTGTGCTCTGGCACAGGACCAGACTTAAGAGGGCTCTAGCAGCTTTACTGTGGACTGTGTTGCAGACCCTGCCAGTGGGCAAGGACCTGAGCACGCACCCTCTTTGATCTCTCTCTCTCTCTCTCTCTCTCTCTCTCAGTGCAAGGGTTTAAATCCAGGGCCTCATGCATGCCAGGCAAGTACTTGACCACTGGACTCCATGCCTAGCCCTTTATTTCATTTGATTTTTGACACAGGGTCTCACTAACTTGTGGAGGCTGACCTCAATCTTGCCATCCTCCTGCTTCAGCCTCCCAAGTAGCTGGCATGACAGGTGTGGGTCACTGTGCCTGGCTGCATGTTTCTCTCTTTATGAATTGTACACAGGTACCACTGTGCTCTTGGGATAAATTATTAATATCTACAACAATAGAATTAACAAGGGATGACATGAAAGTCAGTATAACCATAAGCTCTAGGACCCTCTTCCGATGCCTCAGTGGGTTATCTTGCCCATAAATAAAAAGTTTTAGTCAAAATGCTGGATGTGCTGGCCCACGCCTGTCATCGAAGCAACTCGGGAGGCTGAGGCAGGAGGATCTCGAGTTCAAAGCCAGCCTCAGCAAAAGCGAGGCCCTAAGCAACTCAGTGAGACCTGTCTCTACATAAAATTCAAAATAGGGCTGGGGATGGGGCTCGGTGGTGGAGTGCCCCTAAATTCAATTCCTGGTACCAAAAAAAAAAAAAAAAAAGAGTTTTAGTCAAAAATGTTAAGGACACAAGTGAAACTCTTATGTCCCCGAGGGAGACTCCTGGGTGGTTTTGGGAATGTTGGTAAATAGTAACAGCTGCTACTGCTGAGGGTCTGCTCTGTCCTGGCCCGTCCTGGGGGTGGGGTGCCCGTCTCAGGCGGAGGAGCGGCCCGTGTCCTGATGTCTGTGTGTCTCTGTGTCTCCCAGGTACCATGCCCCTGCACCTGCTCCTGCTGCTGACCCTGCTGGGCCCTGGCAGTGCCCTCCTCCAGCTGTGGGAGATCACCCACAGAGCAGCTCCAGCCCCCCTGCCTGCCCGGGTACGGAGACAGGTGGCCCTGGAGGACGACTACGGTGACCAAGACTATGTCACAGAGGGCACAGACCCTCCGGAAACACTGGAGAATCACACAGGGACCGTGGCAGCAGGCCCCAAGGTTCTGACCACAAAGGGCACATTGGAGCCGAGCGCTTCTGCGGGGCCTGGGACCCCCGGGCCAGCCACGGCAGAGGCCGCCACGGGACACTCTGCTGGCCTGGCTGCAGGGGGGACAGCCACGGAGGGGCCGAGCACAGAAGTGGCCACGCCATGGGTGTCAGTCACAGGGCCGCTGGCCACAGAGCTGACCTCTGCCATTGCTGCATCTACAGAAGGGCCTGTACCCGTGGAGACAACAGCCACGGAGGGCCTGTCCACAGGGCCAGCAGCCACAGAGGCTGACACCACTCCGTCCGTGGCCACCAAGGCAGAGACCATTGCTCCAGTGGCCACCGAGGCAGAGACCACCCAGCCTGCGACCACTGAGGCAGAGACCACTCCGCCAGTGGCCACGGAGGCAGCGATCCTTCTGCCAGTGGCCACCGAGGCAGAGACCACTCCGCCAGTGGCCACCAAGGCAGCGATCCCTCCGCCAGGGGCCACCGAGGCAGAGACCACTCCGCCTTCGGCCACTGAGGCTCGGTCTGTGCAGCCTGTGGTCACGGCAGTTGTGTCCACCGAGAAATCCATGGTGAAGTCCCTGTCCAGGGACACCATCGCCACCACGGCCTTTCGTGTGACTTTCGAGGGTGCCATGGCGACAACCAGCCACTTGCACAGTCGCGAGGTCGTCTTCCCTGGAGGCTCCGTGGACCCCAGCTCCACGGGCGCCTCGGACATGATCCCCGTGAAGCAGTGCCTGCTGGCCATCCTGGTCCTGGCCCTGGTGGCCACCGTCTTCTTCGTGTGCACCGTGGTGCTGGCCGTCCGCCTCTCCCGCAAGACCCACACGTACCCCGTGCGCAGCTACTCGCCCACCGAGATGGTCTGCATCTCGGCCCTGCTGCCCGAGGGGGGCGAGGGCGCCCCGGCCACGGCCAACGGGGGCCTGCCCAAGAGCCAGGGCCTGAAGGCCGAGGCCCAGGAGGACCGCGACGGGGATGACCTCACTCTGCACAGCTTCCTCCCCTAGCTCGAGGCCCTGGCCCGTCCACAGCTCTGGGCTTCCCGGGAGACCCTTGGGACTGGGGGTCTCTAGGGAAGGAACTCTGGCTGCCCCAGACAGGGCCCCAAACAGCCAAGGTCCTGGGGCCGCACAGGACTGGCCAGCCAACCAGGCAGCCACTTTGCCTGAGAGATCGTGGCCCCTCCTGGTCCCCCATCTGTCCCAAGGCCCCTTTTATGCTTCCATTCTTCCTTCCTCCAGCCCACCTGGGTCTCATCCCCATGTCCCCAAGGAAGACTGAGTGCCTGTGCCCCACTCCATCACTATATTCTTTTTGTTTGGGGTACCGGGGATTGACCTTGGGGGCACTCACCCACGGAGCCTCCTCCCCAGCCCTGGTTTGCATTTTATTTAGAGACAGGGTCTCACTGAGTTGCTCAGGGCCTCACCGTTGCTGAGGCTGGCTTTGAACTGGCGATCCTCCTGCCTCAGCCTCCTGAGCCTCTGGGATGACCGGCCTTGCGCCCGGCTCCCGTCTCTGTTTTCCTCTCGTTTCCATGGTCACCATGTAGAGGAGCATTTTGGAGGGGTGCTGAAGAGCATGGGGTTCCTGGGGCCATCTCCACACCCTGAAGGGCTGTGTGGGTGGTCTTGGGTGTGTTTCTGGGAAACCCAGGTGAGGCCTCAGCCTGTGGGTGCTGGGGTGGGGTGGGGGGGCTGTGTGCACCCATGAGTTTCCATCTGGTGACAGAGGAAGCCCATTCTGCCCCTCTCTCCCTCCCCTGTGGCCGTGTTCCAGGGTGGCTCTGTCTCCTTCGCTGCAGTGTCCCCCCTCGCCCAGCCCTGGACCTGGCCACACACAGGCACTCAATAAACATGATGAACAGACGCTTGGTGGCCAGCCCTTCAGTGTCCAGGCCGCCTCCTCCAGGCAGCCTTCCCAGCATCCTCCACTCCTCAGCCGTTTGCCTGTGACCCTGGGGCCCTGGGGAAGCCCCTTCCCAGGCTGACGGGTTGACTTCTGGGTCCCCTCGTGGGCCTTGGGGGCCTCTGGACCCATCCTTGAACAACTGGGGGAGAAAATAGAGGGCCCCATTCAGCCCCCCATGGCCATTTTATTCACCCCATGACCTAGTTGTGACCTACAGAGTCACGTTTCCCCGGACTTCAGACCAACGTGGCTCTGTGTCCCCTCCCCCCCCAGAAGCCAGCGGGTTCTTCTTTCCACGGGGTGAGGTCTCCACCCCACGACGCCTGGTGGCAGCTGTGCTACTTCTCAGCTCAGAGGGGAGGTCCTTAAAGTTTGGGGTCACCAGGCTTTTCTTCAAGGGCAGTCGGTCAACACTGATGCTCCAGCTGGTCACCTTGTCTAGGCTGCAACCTCGCCAGGCCCCAGAGGCGGGTCATAAGTGACTGTCACAACTGTGTGGAAGTACAGCTGGGTCAGGCTCTGCAAGGGTGCTGACCTGTGATGTCAGTGTCAGGTGACAACCCTCCCAGGTGACCAGGCATCCCAGTTTGCCTGGGGCTTTATGATTTTTTTTTTTTTTTTTGGTACTGGGATTGAACTCGGGCACTCACCACGGAGCCCCATCCCCAGCCCTATTTTGTATTTTATTTAGAGACAGGGTCTCACTGAGTTGCTTAGGGCCTCGCTGTTGCTGAGGCTGGCTTTGAACTCTCCATCCTCCTGCCTCAGCCTCCCAGCCGCTGGGATTCAGGCCATGCACCACTGTGCCCAACTTCCCCAGGGTCTCCTCAAGGGGTCCTTCTGCAGGCTTCCCTTCCCTGAGGGCGTCTTTCCTTGAGGATGCAGTGAGGCTGCGCAGATGTGGCTTTCCTTCTCTGTGGGACCAGGGCCGCTGACCCTTCGGAGCTCTCCATTTGGATTCCCATCTCTGCTCACCGAGGTGCAGGATTGAATCCAGACTTGCTGTGGGTGCTCAAAGCAGCCACCAGGGGGCGCCCGCCACCAGCCCCTAGAGCCGTTGAAACCTGCCGCTGCTTCTATCTGGTCTTGGAGGAGGAAGGAGAGGTCCTGACCCAGGGCGGTGCCCCAGACCACGGGGCGCTGCTGAATGCTGACAGAGGGCTCCCTGGAGGGAAAAAGCCCCGGTTTGTAGGGTTTGCATACTCCTCCGTGGAAATACCTCAGGGCCAGTTTTGAGCCACCAAATATTAAATAGCAGAGAACAAGATGTCAATAACCTTGAGATCACAGATAATATCAGGATGTAGCGAAACGCGTAGGAAGTGGTGAGTTTTGAGCATTGATGACCTTGGGGTGTGTGTGTGTGTGTGTGTAGAACTGGGGATGGAACCCGGTGTCTGGCTCATGCTAGGCAAGTGCTCTACCACTGAGCTGCACCTCTAGTCCCCGATGACCTTGGTTTCTATTTAATTCATTTCTTTTCTTTTCTGTTTTAAAAAGAGAGAGTGAGAGGAGAGAGAGAGAGAATTTCCAACATTTTCCAACATTTATTTTTTAGTTCTCGGCGGACACAACATCTTTGTTGGTATGTGGTGCTGAGGATCGAACCTGGGCTGCACGCATGCCAGGCGAGCGCGCTACCGCTTGAGCCACATCCCCAGCCCCTAATTCATTTCTTTTCTTTCTTTCTTTCTTTCTTTTTTTTTTTTTTCTTTTTTTTGGTACTGGGGTTTGAACCCAGGGAAACTGCACTTCTGAGCTGCATCCCCAGCCCATTTTATTTTTTGAGACAGGGTCCTGTTAAATTGATGAGACTGGCCTCCACCTTGAGATCCTCCTGCCTCAGCCTCCGGGGTTGCTGGGGTGACAGGCATGGGCCACAGCACCCTGCTGACCTGGGTTTTAATGTAAAGTATTTATTAAACAACAGACAGAAAAGTTGCTATGTGGCTTCCAGGCAGACACGGCTGGCTCTTGTCACCAGTACCAGTCCCCCCTGCCCTTGAACATCTCCCCAAACACCCCCTGAACCCACACACAGGAGCCCTGTGAAGGCTGTACTTGTGTCCATTCTACAGAAGAGAAAACCTTGAGGCTCAGAGAGATGACGTCACCTTCCCCAGGCCAAGCTCGAGCATCTGGGGTTGGAGCCCAGGTCTGAAAACCACCCTCACCACCCACCATGTCACCCTAAGATCACAGTGGGGTTCTGGGGGAATCCCATGCCTCAAAGTCACCCCCCGCCGACCTTCCCTGGGCCCTGGAAGTCCCCCCTTAGTCACCCTTCGTGTCTCCTGGAGGCTGAGAAAAGGCATTGGTACTTGGGAGGGTGCCAGGGCCCAGCCCAGCAGAGAGCAGGGCACAGCGGAGCTGGGTGGGGACAGAGGGGCAGCCCCTGGGCGGACAGTCACCAGCTCTTGCTGCTCGCCCTGCCCCTTGCCAAACACACTCCGTGTCATCATTCAGGCCTCACAGGACCCCACGATGTGAGTGCAGCACGTACCCGGTTCTTGCTGGGGAACTGAGCCCCGGGCGCCGGCTTGTGGACCTCTGGGAACCGCAGATCTGCTGGCCGGGAAGGAGGAGGGGAGATGGGACGTGGGGAGCAGGCAGGTGTCCCGCCACTACCCTCATCTCCCACCAGCCGGGCTGCGGGGTCACCCAGCTGCTGCTCTGTGCGGGGACCCCTAGATGCTCCCCCACACCCCATCCTTATCGGCCGCGTGACCAAGCAGTGGGTCACTGCAGAGCGGGCCAGGCACCCACAGGGCCACATGAGCAGGACAGGCCTGGTGACACCTCACAGTCAGGAGAGGGCATGGGGCCTGCATGTCCCCCAGGAAAAGGTCAGGTGTCTGTACTCAGAGCCTGGGGACGCCGAGGGCTGGAGTGGGGCAGGTCTGTCCCAGGACCAAGGGACGCAGATCAAGGACCCGGGGCGGGAAGGCCAGCCCTGGACGCTGCTGAGCTCCGGGTGGCTCTGGCCCTGCCCCGGCCTCCGCTGCTTTCCCTGCCTGGGGGGGGGGGCGATGGCATCATCCCCCACCCCTGCCCCAGTCCTGGCCCTGGATGTCCCCATCTGCACCGATGGTTCTCTGTGTCTGCTCATGTCGCCTAAATGACATGAGCAACATTCACCTGGGTGACCAGAGCCTGGCCCCGGGTACTGCTGGTCTGTGACGCCCACAGGGCACAGAGAGGCGGTTCCAGAAGGTTCTGTGGGAGCAGAGGCCCAGCCCCCACAGCCCTGGACGGCATCCTGCAGGGCCGTGGGCACCCGGCCACCCCGTGGGCCTGCTTCCCCACTGTAGCTGCTCCCTGTAGGCACAGCTCAGGGGACAGGGGGCAGCTCTGGGCAGTGGTTGACACCCCAGGCCTCCCTCTGTCCTGAAGGAGGCAGTTAACAGAGGACCGACCTCTGAACCTTGACCTTGACGTCTTGTGAGGGGTGGACGCAGGCAGCCCCCCACCGCTGGGCTGTTGGGGTACCGACCACCCCTTCAGGTCCTCTCCCACACGCCGTCCCCACACACGATGGGTGTGCGTCCTCGGGCAGCCTCGGTGACTTGTCTTTGGGTCCCAGTGAGTCCTGGTGCAGAGCAGCTGTCCCCCCATCGGGTGTAAAGAAGGGACGGCGGCCCTGGGCCCAGTCAGGGGAGCATCCTCAGCAACTGAGGCTGAAATAACCCACAATGGGCCTTCGCTGCGGTGTGAAGGGAACTCTGGGCCTCAGTCTCCTCATCTGTGAAGTGGGGTGACAATGGCACCGATTCCTGGGTGCTCGGGGAGGGTAAGCGAGACAGGCGCGGGAAGCTCTGGGCACAATGCCTTGGCAGAAAGTAAGTGCTCAATAAATCAAGTGCAGAAAAAATCCCACAAGGAGTCCCCCGACTTGCTCAGAGTCTTTGAGTTCAGCCAGGGGGGGCTTGGATTCCAGTGTCACCTGTGCCCAGGTGGAGAGGCCCTGCTCCGAGGGGCCCACTCGGCAATGGGGTCCACAGAGCCCCCTTCCCAGAGGTTCCTGGGAACCCGAGGCTCTTCTGTGTCACCAGGAGCTCGGTGGTTAAGTGGCCTCTTGGTGGCTGGAAGGCTGTCACCCTGGCTGGCCCTGCTTTGCCCACGGGCACCCTCGTGCCCGGGCCTGGCCGGACCAGAAAATGGCTGCTGAGCTGCTCGTGAGACACAGGCATTGCTGCTCCGAGCAGGAAAGAGGCCTTTGTCAGGACCTGGACACAGTCTCCTTCCACAGCCCCGAAACCCACAGGTGGGCCGCCGGCCAGCCTCAGCCCTGGTTCTGAGCTGCCCACTGCCCCCGGAAGGTAGGTCTTTCTGGAGACCCTGTGGGGTGGCCTTGTGTCCAGCCTCTGAGCCCCCAAGAGGGACAGACTTCGATTCCCCAGAGGTTCAGCAGCCCCTCAAGAAATCACAGGCCACACTCGTGTAGTGGGACAGCGGGAAGCCCTGATCCTGCCAATGGAAGCTTCTGGGCCCCACCCCTGCCCTGTTCCAAGCCCCGTCTCATCTAGGGACACGCATCTTGGATGAGAGAAGGACGCTCCTGTCACCGCCCCCTCCGTCCTGGAGCCTCAGTGCTCCTGCCTCAGGACCTTTGCACCTGTGGTCCCTGCGCCCAGCCTCGCCCTGGCATCTCCCGATTCTTTAGGTCTCAGGTTGAAAGTCGCCCTCTCAGCCCCCAGGGCTTCACTCGTGGGTCCTCTTTGCCCCTTCCCAGGCCCTGGACCTCTGGAGTTGGTGGCACCGTCAGATAGTGGACCTCTCTTCCCCGGGTCTCTCTGTCCCTGTCACTGCATGCGTGTGGCACACAGTAGGGGGCTCAGGGGCCCTCTGTGGGGTGGAGGACCAAGGCAGGAGGCTCTGCAGGAGGACAGAGGCCGAGGCAAAGGGAGGAGGCTGCAGGAAAGGAGGCCGGGGCGGATGGTCGCGGCAGGTCGCAGGCA